AGGTGCAGGAGGCGATGTCGCAGGTCCATGTTCTGTGGGGTGGATTGGTTAGTGGATGGGAATGGGGGGAAGGGAGATGGGGTATTTACTTTGTACGACTGCTGCTTCTGGTTTGAAGTTAGTATCTCAACACCATGTTTCGATGTAAAGATGCTCACCTAGTCGGAACTTGCGAAGAACTCATCCCTAGATCACCGCCGTGACTTTGCCAACCTCCAACGTCATACCCACTAGCTACTGGCTGTTGATATCCAGTAGTCGGCGCAACATTTACAGGTTGCACGTAGTAGTCTGGGATGATCTGGTACGGTTGAGGTGGGTAACATTGATACTGTGCGTAGTATGTGTTGATCTGAGATTGTGTGTATTGAGGTACTGATGAAGCTGGGTAAGAGGTTTGATAGTTGTAGTTCCCTTGGTCAGAAGAAGAATACTGGTGTTATTAGTCAAAGCAAGTGACGACGAACAGATTGAGTATGACTTACGCTGTATCCAGACATGGCGGGCGAAGGCGGTTGTTCCTGCTTCGGGCGTATCGTCTTCGTCTTCTTCGTACGGCTTGTAGTGCTAGAAGGGCGATAGACGGGCGCCACGGGCGAAGTGATGATGCGTAGCTTGTTTGGTCTGGATGCCTTTCTTGTACTAGAGATGGAAGTATGTCTTCGGGGACGAAGTTGAACTTGCTCAAGAGATCTATGAACTCAGAGTTAGAAGTTGTCGTTGATGATGCTGTTGCTTTTGCTATCCTGGCATGCTTTCGAGTCTTATATGAAGCGAGCATGATAACTCGTTCCCTCATATCGGCAAAGACCTTTCACTGCCACCCCAGAGCTTATGCTATAGACCCTCAAGAACCGCATCGACTCACAGGTATTTCGGAGGGAATGAACCGTCCGGGCGCCCAAAGCCATCTCCCTGAGGGCCGTAGTGTGCCAACATGGCGATGACGAAACAAAGTTAGAAGTGTCGTAAGGCGAGAAGTCGGATCAGGTTGTGGATTCGCTCGACAGGGCTTGACGATCGCGTCTTTGGTAAGCGTTGCGATCTCCTTGTACAAGGACTGCTACGCCAGAGGCCAAATGTGTGAATATAGAAGTCCAAGATTGCTGAGGTGGATGCGTAGGATGGCGAGGCGAAGCCAGTACCAGCTTGGTGGTACCCCACACAACTAATCGGTATAGGGCTGACGACCTAGTGTCCGTGCCGTCACCGGAAAATGGAATTGTAGGGTCTGGTCGCGGCGCGGGTGAATCAAAAGGCCTAATGTTGTCGTATGCTGTGGGAGAATTGAGGCGGTGAAATAGTGGTCTAGGTGTAGAGGTAGGAAGCACAACGAGGACACTGGTAGATCTGTGTCGTCTTATGGCGATGCAGGGCGAGTACCCCTAGGCCCCGATCCAACTTTAATTGAACTGTACCATCTCTTTCATTTGTCGTTGTCATGGCTTGGCAAGGCAAATAGCTAGAATAGTCCAATGCGTACACGTTGGTGTTCTGATCTTGGTGTACCGGGATATATGATAGGCATGGTTCACCGATTAACACACATGCGGGTAGGTCGATGGGCCCCGTGTGACTGGATGTGCATGCGTGGCTCTTGTTCGCGTACTTTCGTTCCGCGGTGTAGGAACGAACCCCTGCTACGCTGCAGAACGTGGCCTGGAGCCTAGCGATCGGCCTGAGGTCTATCATGTTTGACATGGTCGTTTCGCGATACTCCAGGCCCTTCCAGCTGGCTCTCGGTAATGCACCCGACCGCTTGATCGCTTGAAATTATCAGAGCACTTGTGATGACAACATGCCTTCGAAACGCATTGAGATCAAACATTGCTTGACCGCCCGTCTCCAAGTAGGTTAGCCGTCATCAAACGCCCATCTCGCGTCCTGTCTTCGTCTGTCTCTGCTGCTGCTGTAAGTGGGTCAATTAACCCGCAACCCGATGGACTTGGACCGGCGCAGGAATGCCGTAAAATGATTGATGCAGTAACCGCTCAACTCAAAGTCATGCACGAGTTAGTGCTGCCGGGCGTAACGGGGCGTAACTGAAGCTTGAACGTCGCGGAAGGATTCTTCGCTTAGGCGGCCAGTGACATGCGACCAGCCTCCTCCTGCAGCCCTGTAGGCTCCACCGATTGGGGGCGGAACCCAGTGTAACGTCGTCTGGACCAATTGAGCACATTCCGCAGCCGTTAGCCACATCATGTCAGATTACGCCCGGCGCTCAGACCGCTACAACATCCTTGGACGGCCAAATTGTCGCGGGCGGAGGGCCTGCACTTGGCAGGTGAGCCTCAATAAGTGCTATTTGATCCATGCATAATTGTCTCACCGTGACTTACACCACGCGTGGTCGGTCGAGTGCCTGCGGGCGGACATTAATACGCACCGAAGATACCCTGATGGAAGCGATTCAAGATCCGAAGAGCAAAAGTCATCTGCCCTCGACGGGACCCATTCCAGGACTACCTAATACTTAATCTTAATACAGAACTCAATTACCCCAAGCCGAGCATGCGGGTCGGTAAGAAGAAAGCAGCCGACTGCTCATAGCTCATCTTCCAAGAACTTATAGGCAAATCGGAAGTCAGCTTTCCTACGGTTCATCCTGCAATAAGGTTAGCACTGTATGACGTGCAGAAATAGCACGGCGTGGCGCGAGTTTGTAATACGGTAGCCCCGCGTGAGGCTGGTGGACGGAATTAGGTGCTTACCATGTGCTCTCATAGTCAAAGAAGCGGTACGTCCCCTGCTCGTAGTCTTCAGTGATTGCTTTTGGTTCTTCGTGGCGTTGGAACCATGTTTGATATTGCTTGTGAAATCTCCAGCTCTGCGACTTGAGTGCCTTTGCAGCCAGGTATTGCTGGTACGTGCCTTGGCGGTAGTAGAAGGCGTAGAAGAGAGCGTCCGTCTCGATGCGGGAGTACAAGCGAGGATCATCGAAGATGGGCAACGGCTCTTGCGGGTAGTGCGCGGGCGTAAACGGATAGGGATTCTGGGGTCGGTAGTGGCGCGGCGCCTCAGTATCCGCAGAGTCCGGCGCGGTGGCCATGGATGCTGCTAGCATGTGCTCATTTGGAGGTTTCGATGCAGAGGCGGATATGTCATTCTTGGTCGCCTCAAACGTGTCCAGGAGGTCCTGTAGGCTCGACGGTAGATGGTACACTGATTCCTCTTCCTCCTCTTCTGCATGGGAATCGCCGTTCGTTAGCGGCGGGGTCGCAGCCGATGACTCCTCCTCTTCTACAGGCTCGGGAGCTGGTGTCCTTCTGCTAGACTTCGAGGCGTCTTCCGACGAAACGGCGCGCGAAAGGGTCTCCTTCTCCGCAGCAGGCGTCACGGGTATACTTGCCGCGGGAGCTGGCGATGCTTGTGCGGATTCGGCTGGCTGCGCGCGCGAGGCCAGTTGGGAATGTGTTATTGCCGGGGAGTTTGCTGCGCTTGCCCGTGCGCCGCCAGGAACAAGGCCTGACTGTGCTGCGGCCCCTCCCGGTGGTGGTGGCAGAGGAGCAATGCCCACTCCATTCTTATCGCTCGCGGCTGCAGCAGCGGCGGCCGAGGCGTACTTCAAGGGCTCGCCCGGCGTCCTTGTCGGTATCGGCGCGGGCTTCATCGCGTTGGCCGTGGTATTTGAGACGCCAGGTAACGGCGTGTGCAATGTTGCTAGTGCTGGTAATGGCGACTTCATCTGTGTCGAGGGCCGTCGTGCCTGTTGTTGTACTGCCTCTGTCGCTTTCGGCTTGGGTGCTGGCGGTCGCACGTCTGACTCGGGTGTGTCGTCTGCTATCGACTGCGACTCGTGTGAAGACACATGGTCCAGGTTCTCGCCCAGGCCAAAGATGGCCTCCTCCTCTTGCAGGTTGAAGTCGTCGTATATTGTGTCGTCGTCCATGAACTCGGGGTCCTGATTGCTCTCGACGTAGTACTTGATGCTGTCCTCAATCTCCTTGACCTGTTCTGTCTCGACATTGCCATTCTCCAGCGCTCGATGCAGCAGGTCCAGCTTGCCCTGATGCCATTTATTCCGCTCGACCGACTCTTCCAGCTCTGCCACGCGCTCCGCCTTGGAATTGTCCCCCTTCTTCGTCTTCTTGACGTTGGCATGTAATGTCTCGATCTCGGTCTCGATGGTCTCTATTTGGCGCTCCAGCTCCTCGTTCATCTGCTGCAGGAACTCGACCATCTCCATCTTCTCCTTGTCCTTGGGGTCGATTTTGGACGCTAATTGCAGGCCTTCCTTGGAGTATGCCTTCGTCTTCATCTCCTTTTCGACGGCCTTGAAGCGCTCCATTTGCTGTCACATGTCAGCGTCCCATCATGCCGGGAGGCGGCGGTCAGCCTACTGTCTCGATGAGCTTCCGGTGGTCGAGCAACGGCTTCTTGTCCTTGATCTCGGACATGGCGGCCCACGTCTTGATCTGGTCCCGCGAGCGCTGCAGCTTCTTGATCTCCTTCTTCAGCTGGTCCTCGAGCTTCTCCTTCTGCGAGGGGTTGCCCGTCTGCATGATCTTCTCATATATGTTCTCGAACGTCGCGACGCCTTCGGCGACTTTCTTGAAGCATTTGTCGATCTCCTGCTGGAGCTTGCGGGCGGCCATGGCGAGCGTCGAGCCTCGTCGTGAGGACTTTCGCGGTGGTTACGGCAATGATTGCGGCGCCGGGGGTGGCAGCGGCCGTGGGACAGTCGAATCGCGCGAGTGAGGGCGGTCGACGAAGAATGGCGTGGATGTTTGTCGTGGGCTGAATGCGGAGGCGGACGTATCGCATAGGTAACGCGATGCCACAGGGCTGGCCTAGCGTCCTCGCCAAGAGTGCGGCCACTAGCCACCACGATTGGCCCCACGCGTCTGGTTTCATCTACGCGTTCCACCCTCTTCCAGCCCCGTCTCATACTTGTCGCATGTCGCAATTCCCATGCGTGACGTCGTTGCGCTGCTGCACACATCACCGTGAGGCTATCGCAATCTCTCTCACTATCTAGGTACTGCTGCTACCCCGCCATCATGAGGAGTACGGACCCCGCCTCCATGCACACGTAACCACGACTATACTAAGCGTGTCTAGCGGTGCTGCAGAGGGTCAAGTCGGCATCAGTCACGGTCGATGGCCAGTTGATCTCCTCGATTGGCAAGGGCTTGCTGGTCCTTGCGGCCGTCTCCAAAGACGACACGGAGAAGGATGTTGAGGCCATGGCCAGCAAGATACTCAAGGCCAAGCTCTGGGACGACGATTCCAAGAACCCGCCGGGCCGCGTATGAAGCCGATGCTTTTTCTCTCGGCTGAGACTGACATGTCAAGTGGAAATGCAACGTGACCGATATCCATGGCGAGGTTTTGTGTGGTATGTGTGAAACTCTATGACAGTGCTTTTGCTGCGGAATCGGTGTGCTGAATGTCGACAGTCTCCCAATTCACGCTACTGGCCTCTATGAAGAAGGGAAACAAGCCGGATTTCCACCAATCCGCAAACGGCGACCAAGCCAAGACACTATACCACGCCTTCTTCAAGAAGGTCGGATCTCTCTATGAGTCCGACAAGGTCAAAGACGGACTTTTTGCTGCTATGATGGATGTTGCTCTGGTTAACGATGGGCCGGTAGGTTTGGACTATACCTGCCTAGATGGCGAGGTACAACTTAAGCATTACATTTCCTGAGTGTGTGCCGCTTTGCCTGCTAATGCTAATGGACATTGCTAGGTCACTATTCAAATCGACACCAACCCACGGAAGACGGACGCTTCAACCTCGGGTGCTCCAAACGGAAGCAATCAGCAGACAGTCGACGTTGATGACCGCAAGTAGCATGTATAGTACACATGCAGGCCTTGTACTAACTCTCGTTCGATTCGTAGTGGTCAACAACATGACCAAAATCACGCAAGAAGTCAAGATACCGGTAGAGCGACTTGAGTAGATGTCAATACAACCAGCCGCCGTGTTTACGATTATCGACTTGGTACATTACACCACGACAACGTGTCGTGATCAACACAGACCCGGGAGATTGTCACCGCACCACCGGGAGACATTTACTGCTGGACAACAACAATGCGCGCCGCCAGACAAATACAATATTCATACATACATGCCGCCTCACATCATGTCCATTCCCACTGCATGTACAGACGCTGCTTATGTCAGACATACCTAACGTGCGCATGGGTTGCAACTCCAACCCGAGGATAGGGCTTGACCCCGTGCCGATGCGCCACTGTCTTAACCGATATGCAGTTGGATTGAACCTTGCACATTACGCCCGGCAGCACGGTAATTAACTGGACTCGCGAATGGCGGCGCAGCATGCAGTTGGATTGAGCACCCACGCTGTTTGAGGTAGGGTATGCGAAAGCTGTTAACTCGCCGATAGATTGAAGCACTCTGTGCCAGTGACAGACCTATAGGAGAGCACACGGCTCTTCGTCGTCAGCACCGTCTAAATTCGTCGATGGGGTTTTAAGCTACAGCTTTGCCCTTAGCCAAAAACGACGAGCCGTGATCATGTCTCATCGACAATCACTATCTCGCGTGGATTAGTTGCTCGAAGATGAGCGCCTCTATCTTACCGCCAAGCTGCTGTTGCAAAGCCTTCAGGTGACGCCTGCAAGTCGATTGGTGGTTGGGCAGCTATCTCGACACCACCAAAGCGCGTGTAATGTCCGGAAACACCTGAAACGCATCCATATCGAACTCGCTGGGACCTTTGCTGACAGTGACACTGACGTGTGACTGTATCCTACGCAACACACACCTCAAACGGACGTGTGGACTAGATTGCAGTGACAACCTATTCGAAGCTTGTCTGGCGCCTCGTCAACTCCGCGTCTTGCTTCGCACCACAAGCTCCATTCCGGAAGTGGCAGTGCCGGTCCTGAAAGTAGGACTCCTTCGATGCGCATCCATGAAATCGGGCTGACCCACCCCCGTGCTTTCGGTGAACAGACACGAAGTTCTATTCCTGCTTCTGCTTGGTAATACCTTGAACTTCTAACACGCCCATGGTACTTCAGGGTAGGTCAGGGTCCGATGTTCCCAACACGTCATGGATTTTGTCTTGTTTCTTCCCTTCGCTAGTTGCACTTTCGACCTCTTTCACCACTTTTTCACCACTTTTTCACCACTCTTTCACCACTCTTTCAAGCTCACGCGGCCATCGGCTTTTCCTCCACGCCGCTTCTCGTGAGTCAACTGCGATCCAGCTTGTCGCTCGACAACTCCTGTTTCGATACGTCACTGGTTTATCGGCTGCATGAGTGGAGGCTATTGGACTTCTGGGAGAGCGTATCCCGTAACCGCTCGGAACGTTGTTTGGCCATAGTGGAGTGAGGGTATCGGAGTAGATCTTGCTGGAGTTTTGACGTGTTCAAAAAGTATTGATGACAATCAAGGCTGGTTTCGAACGGCGGCCGCATCACTCGGAACGTCGCCTCATGTTGGGAGCCCATTGTCCATCAGCGGGAACAGCTCGGCGGGGACCTCTCTTATACGCGTTTGATTGTCTCGTGTGGCATTCTCCGCGCAAACCATGCAGCTGGGTTATTACCCAATTTGGGTTGTTGATGCGAGGCTTGGTTTCATTCGATACTCAACCCTGGTTTGCATCGGGAAAGCCACATATCTCGGCTGAAGTCCGCAGAAGTCGTTGCGTGTTATTGGTAAGATCGAGCATCTTCATATATTTGCTCACCCAGACTCTAGCATATCGGCATACAGATTGAGAGAGCTTCCGATCACATCCACGATAGCCCAAGTTTGAGATCCTTTGAAGATCATCGCCCAGACCCTGAGCACCCCCGCGCTGAGATGTCGTGTAAAGTTGGGCGAGTCGGGCGTAATGTTGGGCGGCACGGCAAACTCGGTTTCATCCAACATGCTTTTCACAATCGCGATGATTCTGTGCTCGTCTTCTGTGACGGGTGGGTCTGCTTCCGGTACCGACAGTGCTTCGAGCCACTTGCTCATGAGGTAGGCGCACTCGAGCGTGCACAACGAATGTTGAATGCTCCAGATGAACGATTGTGTCTTTGCCACGAGACGATAGCCGATCTTGATGGGTATAGAGAGTGCGTGAGCTGAGTGGAGCACAGCTCTTGTAATCTTTGGCGAGCGCCTGATTGTAGGTCCGGCGCGGAAGGCATTGGCAATCAGCACAGGATCGCGCGTTTCTAAAGCTCGACCTGCAGTGTCCACGTAGAGTCGTATGTATGCCAATCGAAGTAATGCAGTTGAGTTGAAAGCGACAGGACCGTTCTGCGACATCGGGTCGAGCGATGATTCGGGATTTTGGCGCCATCCTGTCTGCCAGTTTCGCAGAGCGTTCTCGAGCGACGCGACGTCTTCTGCGCTCAGATCACCGGGTCCTTCAAAACGGCATCGGGCCACTTGTCTGAGGAAGAAAACATGCTGGATCAGGGCGTGTATCAAGGCATAGTTTCCAGACGACGAGTTGACCTCGGTGACGTCGCGGCCTTGCTTTGTGAAGAGACGTTTCAATGCATCCTGAAACAGGACCTCAGGTGCACTTTTTTTCCTCGCTTCCCTCCATAAAGCCTCCGTAGGTGCCTTGAATTCCGCGGCACTGCACGGCAAGGGCAACTTGACCTCGCTCGTAAGCATGAATGGCGGAATGTTGTAGACGATGCAATGGAGGTTGGAGAAGCCATAGACGATGAACTTGGTCCTTTTGATCGTTTCGCGCCGAATCCAGTCCGACCATGAGATGGTCTCATGGAGAGGTTCGATCTCGAGTCCGTCATCCCGAATGAGGGTAGCTAATATGCTTTGGATTGCTAACGCCTCTCTGAGAATCTCTTTGTGCTTTGCCCAAGTACACAGTGCCATGAGCAAGAGTAGTGCCTGAGCGGTCTGCATGAGATCTTCGCCAAGTACAGGAACATCAGCCTGTGAAGGTAGGCCCAGCGGTCCCGAGACGGAACCCTTGCGTTGAGGGCTACGAGTGTCGCTCGGATGATTGTGGGGCGACGAGTGATCCGACTCAGAATGATGCTGGAGCTGCACCAGGCGCGTGTCCCGTTTCCTGATACGATGTGTCGCAATTGCTTTGCTTACATTGAACAGCTCGACACCCTTTTCGCCCTCGAAAGTGTATTGCGCACCGATAGCTGCCAATGCTAGGAGTAGCTCTATCGAACATGTCTCCACTGACATCGTCGGTATATGGAGGAATGGCATATGCTCGTGAAACCCGTTGATATACGCAGCAATATATCTGCACAGTGCTAATCGCGTTGGTAAAACGAAGTCGCTGGGTATGACCATGGAGAAGGGCTGGAGCATCTCGAGAATATCCTGCCGATCCTCGTGTGAAATATCTGCTAACGATCGTTTCCGAGCGGATTGATCGTCCGGCTGCAAAGAAGGGAACCGAGAGCCGAAGCGTGAAAGCGACGGAGGCTCTTCCACTTGGGTTGGTCTCCAACCATGTGTAGGCGCTGTTGTTCCTTCTGGCTCGGTCGCCATTTGTTGACCGTAGCCAAATGAATCTGGAGAGAAGAACGGCATGGGCTGTTCGGTGTTGATCAGGGACGCAAAATGGTACGAATTTAGTGGTTCACTGTCAAGGAACGAAGTGAGACTATCCAGTGACTCTCCAAAAGTCGACTCATAGCTATGAGCAGACGGCTCCGTGAGCATGGTTGAGTGTGGGCCTTCAACACTCGCGGCTATCGTGCCAGCATGCGAAGGCATTGGGGTTGGCATCGCATCATGAGCAGAGCCATTTGCCATGTTACCTTGGAGAGCTTGATACTCGGCAGCCATGGACAAGGCTGTCAAAGAGTAGGGGCTATTGTGCCCAAAGGTCATGGAGGCGTGTGACATTGCGGGTTGTTGTTGCGACGATTGCATGTCCAAAACAGCAGGTGAGGACATCATACTGGGTATTTCGGGAACTGGACGTCCAGCATCGAAACTTGACCGCATGCGCTTGTGCGGCCGAGTCTCGACCGAGCTATACGTATCTCCAGCGGGAGTATGCTGGTCATTCTGCTGTGTACTCTGCCCTTTGCGATGAGTGAGTCGCTCATGACGAACGAGCAGGTCACTTGAATTGAGTCTTTAGCTGCTGCCGTACACGATGCTGCCTGTATCATACCTGCGTGTGAATGAATAGTTGCATGCTGCGCAGCTGAAGGGCTTCACACCGCTATCTTGACGCATATTAGAATTGGCTTACGACGCGAGTCGCACGACTTACGAATGCGCTCATGACGCTGGAGATGCTCCAGCCTAGCAAAGGCCCGTTGGCAGTGTGGACATTGGAATCGCTTTTCCTTCTTCCCCGGTTGAGCTTGCGGGACCTGCTCTCCACTGGTAGCGGCTTCCATCAAACCAATCGCGACGCTTTCGCTCACACAGGGCCCAATTGCGACCGGCTTAGCAGGCGATAGCCGAGTTTGGAGCAGCCTGAGCACTTAGATGAAGTTTGGAGACTGCAAGTCGTGTTTCACGAAGTCGGGTCGTGAGATTGTGGGGAAAGGAATGAAGCGCGGGGACGCGACGGTTCACATGCGGGGTGCTGGGAAGAGGTGGGAAAGCCACCAATCACACATGTGACAGGTACCCACAGTCCAGGATGCACGCATATTGATAGAATGCATGAGGTGGAAGATGTTATTTTGACACTTTCGCGCAGAAGCAAGGTATGAAGAATGGTGGTTTGCTACGATCACTGTCGAACAACTCGTCCCTGCCCGGGCCGGATGATCCCGGGTGCCACTTGCCCCAGCCACAGTCCAACGCGACGCGACGCGTCTTCTGTCCCTCGTCACAAGCTAACAATCTTCACGCCTTCTTGCTCCTTTCGCCCAGTTCTCGCGGCATCTCGCCTTTCTCTGCCATGTCATCCAGGACCTTCTCAGCTGTCTTCATCGCGTCGACCCCAGCCGGCACACCGCAGTATGTTGTGGCGTGAATGATGGCTTCACGGATCTCAAGCTCGGAAAGACCATTGTTCCTTGCCCCCCGCACATGTACGGCGAGCTCGGGGGCGCGATTGAGTGCCATAAGCATTCCGATGTTGATTAGACTCCTCTGCTTCTTGTCGAGACCTGGACGTGTCCAAGCGTATCCCCAGCACATCTCGGTGACGAGCTCCTGTCCGGCTCGTGAGAACTCGGTGGACCCGTTCTCCAGCGCGCGATTGACGTATTCATCTCCCACCACACTCCGTCTCATCTTCAGCCCTTCATCGAAGAGCTGCTTGTGTAACTCGTCGAGCTTCGGATCGGTCGACATGCTGGCGGTCGGTTGCTTCGAGGTGCGATGGCAGCTGTTGCGGCTTTGACGTGAAAGAGGTTGACTACCCCAAAAAGAATTTACAGGATGAGGAAGATGATAGTCTATCTACTGCGCGTTTGTAGTACCAGTACTGTGACGAACTAACAAGACTGGCATGCTTGCCCCGCGATGGTAGCTTCGTACCTAGATAGCCCGCCCTCGGCATTACCCCAAACATCCCCAATCTTCTCCAACTTCAACATAACGCTAATGCGACTAGTTACACACAGCAAATTGAGGTTCAGCGACATCGGGTCCGATAACGATGGGGTGTCACAGGCCCACGTTGCTGCTCACGCGCCGTTCGATTTAGATCGCCAGTCTTCCTGGCCACCGAGGTAGCGATATACCACCCGCGAGTCCAAATCCCTACACCGCGGATCGTTGGCTGCCCCATCGTATGTCTGTAGTCCAACATCACCCAGCACGTTTCTCGACCCTACTCGTTTCGCCATGTCCACGGCCAAACCGAAGTCTTTGCGCATGAGCTGCACTTTGAAACCCTGCTTCCAGCCTCCTGAAGACGGGGCTTCGGGGTATACATGTGGGACAGGGCAAAACTTGTCGCAAATAGTGTTCTGGGCAGTACCAGCGGCGTACACTTTGGCCAGAGTTCGGGGATCCAATCCGCTGCGCATTCCCATGTCGAAAGCCTCAGAGCAAGCTATGGCAATGATACCCGATAGGTAGTTATTCGACAGCTTCGCTGCAAGCCCAAGGGATGGACCTCCGCAAGGTATCACTTGCCCACCCATCAACCTCATCAGATACGTGAGGCGCTCAATATTTGGGTCCGACTCTGCACAACCTAGGAAGAATGCGATCGTGCCTTTGATGGCTCCCACAACGCCGCCGCTCACCGGGGAGTCATAAAACGATGCCGAGGGGAACTCAGCGGCGATATGGTCTTTCACAGCGAGGCTGGTTGCCGTGTCTATTGTCGAACAGTCAATAAGCAGCTTGTTCGAGATGTCGGTGCTGCATACGCCGTTTTGGGGGTCGAGATATACGGATCGTACATGTGCACCTTCGGGCACCATGCTCACAACTGTGTCCTGCCACGTCGTTAGCTGCCATTTTCGCACGATGGCGTTTCGACTCACGACTTGTTGCGCCACGTCTTTGGCGCTTTTTGCTTTCAAGACTCGACCAGGAAACTCTGCACACGCATCGTCTACCATCTGTTCGACCACGTCATAGACCCAAATGCGCGATTCCTCGGGTAATCTGTTGGCAAGATGAGAAAGCATGGGTTTTCCCATAGCCCCGAGGCCGATGAAGCCCAGCTTTTTAAACTCGTGCGAATGCGTCATGACGAATGCGTGTGCCAGATAGAGGTAGGGAATTGACTTGAAGCCGAGAGTACTTTCAGGAATGACAGAGAGCTAGCGTTGAGTGGGAAGTTTGTGTGTATACGAGACCTGAAGATCTTGAGAAACACGTCAACACTCTATCATCATAACGCGTCGTGAGCGTGCCGCGGCTGGTGAAGCGGGGTAGACATTTCTCCAACGGATAACGACGCACTAATCCTACCCATTCTTTCGCCAACACCTAATACCCCCATAGGTACCTTGGTAAGCTGAACGATGATCTCACGTGTCATCTCCATCTGCTCGTGCATGAGAGCACCTGCGGCTATCCTTCCCAACAGTCATAGTCTTGTGACCTTGAGCCGACATCATCTACGAAAAGCTCAATCACCTTTGGAAAATGTCTGCTATTGTCTCGCAAAAGCAGTCCGGCCATGCAGCGCCGGCCGTTGTCACTGTGCACGCTTTGTCGTGTGGTCACTTTTCTCTTCCGGAGTACCAATTCGTACACCCTGTTAGTCGAGATGCACGACGAACCGTACCTTCATTAGCATTTCTGATACAGCACTACAATCAGAACACTCAGAAGACGACACGAATCGTGTTCGATCTAGGCCTGAGGAGAGACATCAAGAGATACGCGCCACCAATACAAAAGCATGTCGAGACGAGACAGCCAATGAGTACCGATCCAGACGTCACCAAAAGCCTCGCGAGAGGCGGGCTAGTACCCGAGGATATCGATTATGTGATCTATTCGCACGTAAGTCACAAGACCTTGCTTTGCGGACGGTAGGTAACGTGGCTACGGCAGGTGCATTGGGATCATATTGGCGAACCTCGAGACTTTCCTACATCTACCTTCGTCGTCGGTCATGGCTCACTTGCCTTGCTGGATGGCACTTCGTCGTCTTTGCGTGGTGGCCATTCTTTCTTCGAAAGTGATCTTCTGCCAGAAGAGCGGACCATTGAACTATCGGAACCTTCGGCAAACGTGTTGACGAAGCACAACTCATGTAGAGAAACGAACGCCATCAACTTCAGTGGCTCCTGGCAAACGCATGGAAACCTCCCTCGGACTTTGGATGTCTTCAATGACGGCTCACTGCTCATCGTCGACGCACCCGGTCATCTACCAGGACACATCAATCTTCTCGCTCGGACATCTGCTGAACACCAAATTTACATGGGCGGAGATGCATGTCACGACAGACGACTGTTGACCGGAGAGAAAACGATCGGAGAGTGGAACGATGCTCATGGACAAGTCTGTTGCATACATGCCGACAGAAAGCAAGCTGAGGCGACAATTGACAGAATCAGAGCCCTAGAGAAAGAAGGCGTTGAGATCATCTTTGCACATGACGTTGAATGGGAGAACGATCCAAAGAACAAGACGCGGTTCTTCGGCGCGGAGCAAAGCGTGGATGGTTAGTCGTTCGCGTTCAAGACATCACCTAGCAGTTGTTCTGCACAGGATATCGGGATACCGATCGCCTCTCGCACTTACCACGTTATCGACTCATAGTATGGGGAAGCCCAGCTTACTCGCTACAGCTGTAATCCTTCTCGTTCAGCCACCAGGTGGTGTGCTGATCCCTGCGCTTCCCCACACAGCTGAGTTGGGGAAATGTGGGGCTTGCTTGCTCCTCACCATCGACCAACTCGGAATACGCGACTGAGGGGCGGCAGGCAGGACAATGCAGACTGCATCCGCGGAACTAGCAACCTTGTGTTTTACGCGTTCGTGTCTTAATGTCAAGATCTTATATGTTCCGCAATGATCTGAAAGCAATTGTCTTCGTGGTATCAGCGACCCAACCTCCACCTGTGCTATCCAGGTCTTCATTTCTGTCTAAATGATCGATTTGAAACATTGATATCAGTACACAACATGTCTCTCACACCAGACCAACAGGGGTTAAGAGAGCGCTTCGATACCGAGCTCGGCTCCGCAGCCTACGATGAGTCCTGGGCGCGGATGCTCAAACATTCACCCGAGATGTTCGCAGCATCGCTCCGCCTAACAGCCATACCAAAGCGAAGCAGCCACCTATCACCGAAAATCCAGTCCCTAGTCTCCCTCGCCGTAAGCGCATCATCAACCCACCTCCACATCCCCAACATCCACCGCTACACCCGCGCCGCCCTCTCCGCAGGCGCCTCCCGTGCCGAAATCGTCGAAACACTTTGTCTCACATCCACCCTCGGCATCCACGCCTCCACAGTGGGCGTCCCAATCCTCTTCGAAGTCCTCGAAGAGCGGGGCGAAGCCATTCCAAACGGCATGGCAAACATGAGCCCCCAGCAACTCGCGCTAAAGCAAGATTTTCAGACAAAGCGCGGGTACTGGAACGCGTTATGGGAAGAGATGCTGCTCATTGCACCCGACTTCTTCGACGCGTATACGGAGTTTAGTTCTGTGCCGTGGACGAATGAGGGGGGCAAGGGTGTGCTTGAACCCAAAGTCAAGGAGCTGATATATTGTGCGTTTGATACGGCGGCGACGCACATGTATAAGCCGGGGTTGAAGCTGCATATGCGGAATGTGTTGAATTATGGGGGGACGAAGGAGGAGATTATGGAGGTGTTGGAGTTGGCGACGTTGTTGAGTATTAGTACGTTGGATGTGGGGTTGGAGGTGCTGGATAAGGAGATGGGAGGACTGTAACGGCATAGAATGTTAACTTAGCGACGAGCGCGGAGCCTACATCGATGTTAGGTACCCCACTTTGCATGTTATCATATCAATGTAGTGTTTACGCCTGTTCAGTCTTTTCATGTATGAGGGGAGCATAAAATTCTAGTGGCATGTATTACATTTGATCGGCGTATTATGAAGGCTACTTGGCAGCAGATCTATTGTAGTCAAAAAGATCCACTACCGACCACCTCCTCCCCACGTGGCTTTCCACAGGAATCTCGGTGGCTTTCCGCACAGAAATCGCGGCCGCACCGGCGCGTTGCCCGCAACTTCAAGCGTCGTAATATACAGCGACAGAATCGATCCCATGAGATGATATCCGTTCCGTCTAGCCCAGTAGATCGGATTGCTGCTCCTTAGGAATTCGTATTCGCATTCAAGTCCGCGCTTTTCTCGGCAGACATCCCATGCTTCGTGCAGAATGTCGAAAACATGCTGGCTAGGCGCCGTGTGCTCTATGATCAGAGAGAACGTACGCATGCTTTCCTTTAGATTGTTGAAACCCATCGTAGGGTTCTTCTCCCAATAGCCAGGTATCGTGTATTGCCAGGTGTGGCTATTCCCACACGCACGAGTATAGGATCCGTACCATTCTATCAATTCCAAGGCGTACTCGCTCAGGTTGTACTCTAGTTGCAGACCGGGCTGGGAGATCTTGTCGCTTAGTGTCATCTCGTCTTTGGCCTCGATACGAATTTCCGGAACGCGATGTAGCTGATCGTGGCATTTGCGTACAAGACCCGATAGCGCCAGAAGCTCCGATCGCTCTTCGTCGCAGAGGATTGTAGTAGTGCCTTCTGATGTTGGATCCTGGAGAGCCCTGTTGAGCGTGTCGAAATTTGCGGAGAAAGTAATCGCGAGGATTTCGAGGATATATCGCTGCAGCTGCTGAACTTGACTATTTGGCTTTTGAGCCTTGGGAGGAGCGCAGTGTCTTATTTCCTTCGGTGGCAAGCCCAGAGGCACGCAATTTTCACCTTGTGATGTATAAGAAGGTAGTGACTTTGAGGCAGTGCCACCAGTTCTTGAATATTTTTTATCCTCTAGTAGACTTTGTTGTTCGGCTGTGTCGTGTAGCTTTGAGAGACGGTAGCGTCCGAACGGTCCAAGATTGATGATCGGCATGGTCGCGGTGTTGGGAAGGTTAGATGGGTTGCAATAAGTTGAAAGAAGTGCGTTTCGTCAAAGCTTGTAGAGTCTTTCTGTATATCGAGCCTGTCCAGGGCAGTATTTGCTACCAAATAACTGTGCATGTGCGTGTGCAACCCTGTAGCGAATGAGAATAACCGAACCTAGAGTCCGGGTCGAATCTCCCACCCAAAATCCTGACTAGTTTTGCAGCCTACAATAACATAAAACCACGCAAAGTGGGTGATTCGACATTGATGTAGCTTCTAGGGTGCTTTTGAGGTCGAACCTCCCACCCAATGTACGGAAAATTCTAACCATGTTTGCAGCCTACAATAACATAAAACCATGCAAAATGAGTGTTTCAACATTGATGTAGACTCTAGGGTGCTCTCGAGGTCGACTCGTACGGGACAGGCCTGACATTAACCTAGCTCCGTCTTTGGATTATTGCTGCTTGATTATAGGTATGAGATGAGCTCTAGGAGTGATGGGTAGCTATTTGGCAATGAATCATCGCAGTATCGTAGGCATAAGCGATAAGTCTGAAGTATGGCTCTGGGGTGCATTATCTAATCTTATTGTCTACTTAATGGTCTGACTGGTGGTCACTTACATAATCCAGTGAGTAGATCAGATTTTGCGGAAGCGTTGCGAGAATTTTGCGGAAGCGATGGGTTCGTTTTGAGTGGTTGCGACATTACTCGACTGCGAACGACGTCTTGCATGGCAAGAGCGGAAAGCGGTAGCTGTGGTTCAGCCAGATCCGAGGAGTGTCGGCTTGCTAGGTACGATGAGCTTATGAAGGTGATCTGTCTACTAGAGCCGAAGATACAGCGATGAGGTGCGTGCGTATTATCCTCGTGCAGTTGATTTGAGGTGTGAACATTGTGGTGTCATATATTGCTAGGTGGATGTGTTGCGTCATGCACAAGTGTAGAAAATCACAATTCACGGTGAAGACGCGCCAAAACTTCCCGCATCTCCTCCCGCTCCGCCTCCATCTCCCTCTCCGTCTCCCTCATCGCCTCCCTCACCATCGCACCAAGGATGCGACGCTCGAGCGCCCCACCCAACTTCAGCCACAGCCAGTCAGGGCCGAAGCGCCAAAGCAGAAAGGCCAAACCCAGGCCAATCATGACGGCGATGCAGTCGCCTAGGAATTTGTTGGCGACTTGATTCCAGTCGAGCCAGGCGAACATTTTCGCGAGATTCTAGTGTTGATAGCTACATAAATACATTATTATTAGCACGCTAAAGCCAAATTACAGTTTGGAAACGAAATGTGCACGTACCTGTTCCCTTCTTGTGGGTGCTAAAGAACAGGAAGCAGGACTCGGAACGAGATTTACTACATTGCAGCTACAGCGTGGGCAGGCGCTCCTGCGCTGCTGCTTCATGGCTCGTGTACTCCTTCTTAAAAGTGTGGTGTGCGGTTCCCTCATTGGCTCTGTTGGGATATATTTCTACATCGCTCCTGCTTCACTATCTTACCATCGGATCAAGGCGCCTAGCACTTCTAAAAGTCAAGGTTTAATACAGTAACGCGAGCCTACATGACACTACGTGGGTGCTTTTCGACCGTTCTTATGACCCCGAGGTAACTACCAACAGTCTCAAGGCCTACGCCTTCAGAAAAGACATGTTTTTGATCTGCTCCGTAACGTCCTCCAAGCCCTCCATCTTATCCTGTATGAGCTCAATAGCCTTCTGCGGATCCAACCAGCCGGCGAACTTCTCAGGCACCTGCAACTGCATGTTGCGCACATCCACCAAAAGGGCTTTCACCAATGGCTGATTGAACAGGTCTTCCGAGAGGTACTCTGGTACCGAATCGTCCACGGAAAGACTACTAAAGCCCATGAAATTTCCCTTTGAGAATTGGTCTTGCGTGTGCTCGGTCTGAAGCTCTTTCGCCACAACCTTCTCTTTCTTCTCCTTGTAGATGATGAACTGCATAGCCCAAGCAGATCCATGTTTCTGGTACTCTTCCGCTGGCATCTGCCGGGCTACGCTCCAAAAGTCGTCCGTGGCGTATTTCTGCGGAGGAACGCATTCTTCGAGCGCTTTGACCGCCTCACCCATTCGGCCCCTAGCCTGCTTGCCCCAATGTACCAGATCATACTGGCTTGTGCGCCAGAGCCGAGCGATCCAGTAGTCGCGCCTCTCCTTCCCATCGTACTCGATGTGCATCGCCGTTTCCAACCATGCGCCGACGAACTGTTCGAGGAATACAACGAGCTTCTCCGCGAGAAATTTGCGCGCATTAGGCGTGTTGAGGACTACATGTGCTAGTAGAACGTTGAAACGAATCTCCTTGTGCCAGCTTGAGAACGACTGTGTCTCGCTGATCTGCCAGTGCCATGTTGCCATGCAGACTTTGATGTCTTGGTCGTTCTTTCGCGCGAGGAAGTTGGCGGCGGCGAAGTCGTTGTAGTTGGCAAACACGAAGTCGAGCTGCAGGTTTGGAGGGATGGTAGGGACGTGTAGGCTTCCTGGGTTCTCGTAGATGTCGCGGAGGGTGGGGAGACGGCCTGAGGGGAACACGCGGCCGGGGATTTTGAGCTTGGATAGCTTGAATTTGAGGAGGTGACCGGCTTTGGTGTGGAGGTCGAGGAGTTGTTGGTCGGTAAGCGCCATCTTGATGATGGGAAGGAAAAGGAACCTGATAGGTGTGTAGATTGTAACAAGCAGAGTTGGTAAGGCCGATAGAAATTGATTTCATGATACCGAATCGAGGTGAAGGCGAGCTGCTCGCGCGAAAGAAAAATCGCTGGTGACGCCATTTCTTGATCGAAAGTGAGGGTGAGTGGGCTGCCTAAGTGCAAACGCGCGCGATTCTCGCTCACCTCGACAATATCAACTATCTCAGTGCGCCAGATTTTGACTTCCTCTCTTGAATCTATTCCGATTATCTACTCTTTAACAACACCCCCTGACAACACCTGCATCAATAGGTACATCATGGCGCTTACGAAGGACCAACTTCTCGAACTCCACCGGAAGGCCACCCGACTGCTCGAGATCAAGCTCGCGCGTGTTCCCAGGCGCATCTTCACATTCGGTAGTCGCCCTACTATCCACGAGTACTACACCAAGGCACCTACCATCTACGTCCCGAGTATACCAGAGCAGTACCAGCTGGAATATCTACTTGCCAACTACAACGCGGTTCTGGCCGCCGATTTCAAAGCCATCAAGACGCCAGGCGTAGACATCGACGCCGTCAAAGCGATATGGTACTGGCAAATCGACAAGTCGCACTCTTTCAGTCGTTACCACGCTGTCGTCCGATATGATATCCTGACCGCCGTCATCGTAGGCGCGTCAAAAGACCCAGGTGCATACTGCCCCGGATCAGCGCAACAATTCATCCACGCCTTTGTTCTTGCGTGGAAAGAAGCAGTGTCGCAATCAACTTCTTTCACCGAACGGGAGGCCTTCTTGAAGCTGTGGGCAGGAGGGGATCATGATGTGATGCAATGGCGCTCATGGCAGCTCGTCGCCATGCGTCGGGCTGTTGCGCAGATGATGAAGAAGGTGCCTGAGCTCCCTTTCCCTGCTAGTGAGCTCTGGGACAAGGTCCAACAGCAGCCTGAAGTCGAGTGGAAGAGGCATGGACATGCGTAGGCGGCGCAATGGATTAAACATGTGTCGGAGGAGAGCGAGCTTGCGGCCAATCAGAAGGCCGGAGATGCGGAGATGGAGGGTGTGGAGGCCGGTTTGTGTGGGTTGGGAATGGGGGAAGCGCCCGGATACCTTTGCGAAGAGCTGTTCGAGCAGCCACATGTGAAGGCTTTGCTCCTGGACATCGAGGAACCTAACCCGGAGCTGCCAAAGGAGAGATGGGATATGCAAGCTATGTGGATGGATCCTTCTGCGGCGATTGCATTCATGAAAGGTGTGAGTAGCACCGCGGTTGATGAGCTGGACACTGCGCTGCAAAACATGTCTTTTATAACCTAAAACTGTTGTGTAGTTGCGTGCCTGCGATATAGCAGCACATGTATAGTAGAAATAAACTTACCTTCTACTCTTTATTTACGCTGTGACCTTTGACAAGTAAGAATCTAAACAGGTCTGCCGCTTACATTAACATAAAAGTCTACAAAGTAGATAGCTTAACGTCGATGTAGGCCCTAGACCTACTTAGGTTTTTCTTAGGTTGACGTACTGTGATATAGAAAAAGAATTGGCAAAAAACAAAATGATGGCGCTGACAACCTACTAACACAGAGTCGTACCCTATAGCGTGCTTTCTGTTGTCAACTGTAGTGAATCGAACCCACGAGCGACCATGGGTATGACTCTGCAATGCTGATAGCCAGTGTGGGTGAGACAACTGACTAGACTAGCCGGTGATGCGCATTGCTGTCTTCTTCGTTTCAATGAGAAAGTCTTCGGTGGTGGGCTTTATATACCTAGAGAATGTCGCGATAGACATACTACAAGCAATTTTGGGGGTGAGGCGGCGGGCTGCGATGTGAGGTGAAGGACGCACGTCATTGTGGGCGTGGACGGGAGAGTCTGTGCGGAGCTGGTGGTTTAGGCGAGAGTGTTGACGATGGGAAAGATGACGAGCTGCAGGTGAGGGGACCTCATGTGAGCGCGGAGATGATGAGTTGCGAATGCCTTGACACGCTTTGGAAGGAACAGCGAATGCAGCGGATGATTGAGAGACTGCAAGACAGAGAAGACAATGGGAGTTAACTCATTGAAAAGAGGTGACAAAGTGTCCTAGGTGAGGCACTGGAAGTCGAAGTAAACATGGAGGCGCCGATGACATAGCAAACGAGAACGTTAGAGTGTGGGAGATGCTGATGGAGCGGTGAGAGAAACTCGTATGATGCAAGAGTGAACAGGTGCTTTGCCGACTACATTGGTATACAAGTTAACGTTCGCAAGATCCAAAGGTAATGTAGACTTCCAGGTGATACGTTTCCCGCGCGTTCTGGACAGGTGCTTGCCGACTACATTAGTATACAAGCCAAAGTTTCGCAAGATCCAAAGGTAATGTAGACTCCTAGGTGGTACGTATTTAGCTTCTTCCTGGTACGAGTTGGTCCAATCCAGATGTCCAGAGTCACGATCAAGACCAGGGTGACGGGCACCTTGAAGTATAGTTTTACATTTCTCTTGCTTCACTTTCTTACTACGAGGGTAAAGCGTGACGCACCTCCCGATGTGGAACTCTAATACAGTAACACGAAGCCAAGCCAGCGTTAATCATGCACATCCTCCGCTCATGTACTCGCCTGCTTCAAAGCTTCTAGCTTCTCAACCTGTCTCCTCAGCATAACAAGGGCACCCAGACTGATCTTTCTGAGTCCATCACGCTCTCCCTCTTCACTACCCTCAGCGCTTTGTTCGACAACATCCTTAGCGGCTTCGATGGCCTTGTCGAGAAGTTTTGGCGCACCGTCTTCTTGACTCCGGTAGAGGTACTGTAATTCTTCCTTGAAGGGCGCGACTTCATGTGTGAGTGCGTGATGGATGAAAGCGCGGGCGCGGAAGTAAGCGCGTTCAGTATAAAGCGCCGAACTCAGCTTGGTCTCTGGCGCTGAGCGATGAACATCGTAGCCAGCTTCGTTGTAGTAAGGTTCCTTAACTAGTACGAGTCCCATGATGGAGACGAGAACCTGTAGTAGCGTGCTCTTCGCGGGACTCCAGCTCTCATTCCGCTCGTCGGTGTGCCATGTGCCCAGTAGACTCAGACAGATCTTGCCGTCCTCGTATAGGTTTGGGTTGACAGGCCCGTTGCCGTTTGTCCAGCTGTGGAAAAAGGCTGATGGTGCTTCTTGTGGGTAGGCCGATCCGAGGTGGAAGTCGATGACGAAGGGCGCGTACTCGTAGGGTGTGTCGTTGGGGCCGATCATGAGGACGCGGAGGAGATCTAATCGAGATTCCCATGTGCGGACGAAGATGCCTGGTGGAAGTGAGCTTCGGAGGATCTTGTGCTCTTTCGCTATCCGGCGCATGAAGGCTGACGAGGAAGCTGAAGATTGGGAGACGTAGTGATGAGAAGATGGTGGGGCTTCTTCGAGGATGAGGAAAGAGGCCGGGCCTTCTGTGGGTTGCTCTGTATGATCATCCAGTGCTATACCACCGTCTTCATCGGGTTGCTCTTCGGGAGTCGTCTTGGATGTATCGACCTCTTTTGTGATGTCGACAAGGTCAGGCATGGATGTGTCCGTATTGCCATCGTCTTCTTCCTCTTCATCCTCATCTTCCGTCGACCAATCCCCTTCGTCGCCAACAGGCTGTTCACCATCCATGCCCTCATACTCAATCCACATCTCGTTGAATGACGCCGTGTCGAAATCGCTCTCATCACTCTCGTCAGAGTCATCGATGTATTCACCCTCTAGCGGATCCATGTTGCCGAAATCATCAGCCATGTCGCTGCTGTAGGCAAGAGTGACGCGTTCATAGGGAACCTTGACATCCACAACAGGCTTTGCTGCGCCAAGGCGAACCGTGAGCTTCCCGTCCAGGCCCAGGTCAATAACCTCTCCAAACCAGTCGGGGCCAGTGACGTTGAGCGGCGTCTGTACACCTTCGATTGAGTCTGGATGTACAAGTACAAAGTCGCCGCGCCTTCGTGTTAGTGCTGGGAAAGAGTAAATGTCGTATAGACTGACGTCTTCAACGGTCTCGTGTAATTCTCCTGTGCTTGACGGGGGAAGTAGGTCTGGGCCGAAGAACTCAATGGAAGGATTCTTGAACCACCGCACAGTGGCTATCCGATCTCGGCCCTTGACTGTCTGGACTACACCCACTTTCGAAGGCTTCTTTGTCGCAGAGTCATCAGCGTTGTCACCCTCGCGATTCTCTTTGGAGAAAACAACTTCACCAGGCCAGACCTCATCGTCGTCTTCCACATTGGGGTCTGGCAGTAGAGACGAGCTGAGATCGTGCGTTATCGACAGGTCTTGCCATTGAACGGTGACCCGACTGTGAGTCTGCATCACTAAGAAGACATTGAGATCGTATCCCAGGCTTTCCGTCCGCGCGATGCGTGTCACCTTCCCTTGTGGATATCCGTTGGGTAGTTCCCTCGTGCCGTCGTACTTTACAGCTGCGCCGGCGATGTCCTTGAACCGTACCCGATCACCTACGGCCACATCGGTAACATGGTATGACTTGTCGACACCGTTTTCGGAGACGGGGAGGGTCGTAGCGGTACCTCCTGACGCATCGTATCTGTAGAAGTTGGGGCTTTCGAATTCGTCTCGACCGATCGTCGCAGGCGGCTCGTCTGCATTGAAGGCGACGTTGCGCGCGCCAATACTTCTTGCTAGCCACTGCACGTCGATCTCGGATGCTCTTGTCTCGACTACCATGCCCACAGGCGGTACGCTCGGATCGTATGCACCAAATCTCCAGTTTCCCCGCCGCAGGTTGCCCTTTTTGGTCTTGACTGTATCGCCCACGCTGAGCCGCTCGAGAGTGGTGTCGTCTTGTTCCAGCTCTGCCGGGTCCTCGACGACCACGACTGAGTTGTTGGCCAGCCTGATGGCGACCTCGTCGTATACGTTCTCTACCCGCCCCACCCAGTCGCCGTAGACGACTAAGGCGCCCTCGACAAATTCGTGCACGTTGATGAGCTCGTCGGCCGGAATGTTCCGTATAGATAGGTCGTCGGTGGTTGTCTGTGTGATTTGGCCGCCGTTGAAGAGGGTCGCGGGGAAGAGGGTGCAGACTGCCTGGGTGCCAATGACCGTGCCACTAATATGATCTTCGGCCTTCCTCTTGACCACATCGCCTACGTACAGCGCGCGATCTAGCAGCTGAAGCTTTGCTTCTGGTATGAGTTCCGTCTTGTACTGGGTCTGCCATGACACTAGGACCGTACCCCGCGGCGGGATACCGTCTTTCATGAACTTCCAAAAATCTTCCCTGGGGATATCGGTATGGCGTTCGATGTCGTCGGGGTAGTCGCGCTGTGGCCGGGGCTCGTGCGAGTCGACATCGCCGAAAGATCTCTCTATGATGCCGACGCTGTACTTGTCGTCCTTGAGCCCCACGGTATCCTCGACACAGAAGACGACATCCTGCGCGCTTTGCATTTGGCGTGCTGAAGTATGCGGTGGTGTGAATTCTGCCACTTCTGCAGTGTTGGCTGGGTTTTGCGGTACTGAAAAGGTATTGGAGGCGGTGAAGAAAGGCACGAGGTGATTCGAGGGTAACGTTCGCGGCGAAATCGGTCGTGTCGGTGCAGCTTCGTCGTCGGCGGTCGAGAGGTCTGTGAGGAAACGATTCTGGAACAGCTCAGCAAGGAAGCGCTCGACTGCGTTAGGTTGCTGTGGTCGATTTGCGTCGTTGTCCGCGCTATTGGGGTTGTCTGTGTGGGAGTGGCCGCGATCCATGAGTCCTGCGGTTCCAATGTTGCGGTAGCGGCCGCATGTGAAGTGCAAAGGGCGCTAAGGCGGCAAGGGTCAGCCTCGTGGCACCTCCGCCCGCAACTCGACACCTGGGCAGCCACCCCACGCTGCCCTCGACACGCAATTCAACAGCTGCACGCGTCATTGGACGAGTGAAACGCGACAACATGGCGGATCCCCTCTACGAGCTACTGATACCCTACTTCGACGCCCAAGACGCGCAGCTACGGCCCTCCCCCAATGACG